TTCACTTTTTAAAAAATATTGTAATTATGACAATCTCACCTCATCCGATAAACTGTTGCAATTTTTCCACATAGTTAATGTATGTAGATCCAAAAGAAAGCATCATACAAATAGTCATACGATAAATATGCTTGATCTACTGCCCATATAGAATGACATTATTTTCTATCAAATACCCATCATTATTGTTTGAGCAAGTATTTGAGCACCATAAAGGAAAGAATATGATGTTTTAAGCTGGCAGTGTCTATTCATGGCTCATCATGTAGTATATTCTCAATATTGTATTAAGTGCTCGCTCAGTACGATGTGAAGTATTGACCAAAGAAATTAATGGGCCACACAAGCACAAAGAGTTCTCCTATTTTGGTTCGCACAGCAGATTTACAGCTTCTAGCTTAGCTTTAAGATGCTAGCATTCAGTCATTATTCATAAAGGAGCCACTGAAAATTTGAGAAGCTGTAAAATATATCAAAAATAACTAGATATTAAACAATTTACTGTACATATAGTAAATCAAGTATGTAAATATTTAAGCAATTTTCAACAAGCTAAGCCAAACAAAGATTGCTGCCATCCATTATTGTGGCTTTTTTATGCTATGCAATGTTTTATTGTCTTTTAAAAAGCTGCAGAACGTTCATCAGCTTCCAAAGTAGCTTAGGATGGTAATTGATATTGATATATACAGATATTTAATGATATGGCCCAGTAGGCACTGCTGAGGGAAGAGTGAATGATGAATGAATTCCCCAAATTTAATTAATCGGAAGTCAGTGGCAAACAGAAAAGTTGTAAGAACTAAGAGTTGGAGAAGATCTTGAGTTTTTTGGGAGTTTGTTCCAGATATGTGGTGCAAAGAAACTGCATGCTGCTTATACATGTTTAGTTTTGACTGTGGGGACAGTAAACAGACCTACCTCAGACCATCGACAGGTCTGGACAGTTCATAACGGAGTTGCAGATCAGCGGTGTATTAAAAATAAATTCTTGGACTCACAGGAAGCCAGTGTGAAGATCTGAGAACTGTACTGATCCACTTTCCTGGTGAGGACTTGAGCAGCAGCTTTCAGCAAGTCAGCTTTTTAGAGAGACCTGTAAAGACAGTGTTACAGTAGTTTTTCAAAATCCTGCTGAATGTTGATACATTCTTAAGTTAACAGTGGGCTGATTTTGCACTTTTGTGCTTATGTCACCAACAGGTTTTGGACCCTCTTTATATTCAGCTGTGAGGCAACATCACAATAATGACATGGATACATTTACATTCTATAAATATACAGTGAAAATATACAAAGCAGCCAAGAAGCAGCCGAATACTCCCTCATTTTTGAGAGTGATGATCCTTTCTAGGCAAAAATGAAAGCCATAAACAGCGGATTGAAAGCTATTTTTTTTCAGCCACTACTTTTCCTGATGAAAACCTACTGTCAAAACATTGTGATAACTCATCATTTTAAGAGCATCTATTCAGTATGCAGGGACCTTTTTCTTGAGATTGTTTTTGCCTTTTTGGCAATGTACCTGATATCGTGTTGGGATATGCATGCACAGCCTTATCAACCACTACATTGACGGTTCAAGTTTTGACTGCAACATTTTGGCAATACTGCATGTGAGTGATTCTTTAAATTTAAGCGGACCACATTTCTAAGACATGACATTTCTTTGTAGACAACAATCAATCACATTCCCAAAATATTTCAAGAGGTCGCCCTCCATGTTTCAACAAAGAAAATGTCACACCTGCACACAGCCAATTAGAGGCTGCCCTGAGTCAGGGGAGTTTGGTTTATAATGTTTATTTATAGAGCACTTTCAAAAGCCATGTTATAAAGTGGTTTAGTGCATGGAGGTACTGTATGCTGGTTTTAACCAGTGCACATTTTATGTTCTGTGAATTTGCAGATTGATCAGAGAAGTGTGCGCTTGACATTTTTAAATTAATCAGAATAATGACTTTGTATCCAAGCTGAAGTCCCAACAACTGAGCCAAAACCAAAGCTTTTATTTTAGTGAAAAAAACACCCACAAAAGGAGCACAAACATTTATCAAGGTGCACTTTTAGCAAGGCGTCTTTTTCAACCATTTTCAAAGACATCAAAATGCAGTCTGCTGGACTGGACTGGATCACAGTTTCATTAAATCATATATCTCACTGGGATGAAATAAATAATTGATACCATGTAAATAATAAATAATTGAAGCTGCCACAGAAACAGCCTCTTAAGAAAACATGTCAAAGTTAACTGGTGAATTGAAGATGTTTTTTAAAATGAGACAGTATGGTGGGTGTGTGTGTGTGTGTGTGTGTGTGTGTGTGTGTGTGTGTGTGTGTGTGTGTGTGTGTGTGTGTGTGTGTCTAAAGTCTAATAATAGTGCAATGACACTCTTCAACAAGACAAAAAAGCTTGTGTATGACAGCAGCAACAGTATCAGCAGCATCTGCCTCAGTTAACAATTCTCTCTCTGACATCCACCTCACTCCTGATGCTCGTCACATCAAAGGCACACAAAATGCAACTCTGCGTCTTCCACATAAGTATCCTTATTGAAAGTCAAAACACAAAAAAAAGAAACCAACCTTGAAATAGAAGCTGCTGCAGGCGAGAGTTTTCTCTTTTAATCAAGAGGCCTCAATTAGCCTAATGGGTGCTTAAAAAAGACGAACTGTTATACAACAACTCATCTAGCCATAAATCCTCAGTGGAGAGCTTTGACTTATGTCCTTCTCATACTGTTAGTGAGAGGCATATATGTTTCAGTGAATATTAATCTAGTGGAGTGAGTTCAGCCTGCTGACATTTCAATTTCCATGCTTGGTGTTTCAACAATAAGATCACAAATTGTTGAAGACGAATGCAAATGTGAGATTTTACAATAGATGTTTAGCATCCAATCACTTAAGTGTCTATAAATGCAGAATATATAGCTTTAATACTGAATCAGCATTAGACAGTATTAGATAATATTACCATGGTAAATTTGATTATACGTCTTGTCATTTCATGTGCACTCTCAAGCTCCAGCTGCCCTTTTCACTTTATGTAAATTAGCTTTTTATCCATGTCTCTGCAGTACAATAATATATGCATTCAATTTCAAACAGACAGAGCCACCACTTTACATTTGCTCTGACTAATTAATGCTTGATTTGCAATCAAATGCCAACCAACCATGTGTTAACCATGTGGTCAGCTGCCATGCTAGTCAGCAAAAAAACATAAACTATGATACAGTGTAGCTAAGAGCTATGAGGACTGACAAGCAAGCTGGACATCTTCATGGATCATCACTGGATGTGGATGTGTATGAAGGGAAAGTCCTGAAGTAGTATGATGATGCAAACAATCTGTAGTTTAACTATGACATATTGTAAAAACTAATTTTACACATTCACTGTTTACTTTGGGTTATTTAGAGGTAAAGCGCTGACACAGCAAACACCAAAATGTGGCTACAATTATCTCACATACTGTAGTTAATCACACGGATAGCTTTCAGTGCACTTAATGTAGCTGTTATAATTAAAATGGCCACCACGCTCAAACATTTCTAACTTATAGATAATTAAAATGTTAACAGGTGTTTACTCAATGCATAATCACTAGTTAATTAAGCATCAATTAGTGAACTCTGAGGTAAATTGCTGCTGCAAGTGAAATGGGTCTTTGTCTTATAACTCAAACATTTATGTGATGGAGGTGAACGTTTTAGCAGGATAGTGCAAGAAGCAGCAAACATGCCCAGCTGGCTTTTTCAGGATAAACACAAGCTTTGGAAAAAAAAACTCTAGACAGAGCAAAGGCGGTGGTAGCAACAGTAATACAAAGATATATGGTCTGAATTTCATGTCTTTTCCCAATATCAGCAGTTCTGTCATTTTAAACAAGAAAAAGCTGAAATTCCCCGAGCAATGCAAAAGAACCAAGAAATGTACGCTTCAGAAACTTTTTTTTTAAATGCTAGCAGTGCCCAACATTCGTTACTTAGTGGGAATATATCTTACCCCAAAATGAAAAGAAAGAAATTCATGTTACTTTGATCTCATCCTTCCCTTTCATCTACTCCAAAAACCTTAAACCTCTCCAGCCTCCTGCAGCATGGTGTTTGTAGCTGCAGGATTACACTGCATCAGCAGTGGAAGTAGTATTTAGATCCTTAACATCAGGAAAACACCCATAACAAGATGAATCTGAGGGGGTGTAAAATTATTCATAAGGTTGGAAAGAAGAGAAAACAAAGTTATCCTACACAAATTTCTATTATATTCTTCTGACTTTCCTCAAATTGTTGCTCTTTTGTGACATAGTGGATCACTTTACCCCAGGGGGTCTTGAACCAGTCAAAGACATCTAAAACATGACAAGGGAGTCCAACTGTGGGTTTATGTGGGTTTACAAGCAAAACAAACATAACTATACTAGTCTTATCTTGAACAATAAACTCATCACTTGTTCCATAAAATCCTAATCTGAAAAATAACTGGTATCTACAGCTGTCAGACAAATGTAGTAGCATGAAAGGTTCAATATTTCCCTTTGTAATGTAGCTTAACAGAAGTACAAAACATCATATTTGTAATGAGTACAGTAGGCCTACTTCTTACCTTCCACCACTGGTGACCAGAGATATAAAAAGATGCCCCCTTTGACCCCAGTGGGAGTCTGATCAACTGGGGCTCACTCACTGTGTTTGGTGGCCACATGAGCTCCATGCTTTGACCTCTATTTTATTTTTTTTTAAATTGTTATTTTATTTAGACTATCATTTAAAACAGTTGACAAAACTGCACTCCTGTGTTTGGCGTCTACTTGGTGCAAACCTGCCTACACACACACACACACACACACACATACACCTGTCTAGCTGTCTGCGCACACTGCGGTCTCACACCTCCTGTTAGCGAGCCAGCAACAACTAGAGAGTGAAATCAAACCGGATGGGGTCAATATGGAGTGCTGGCCCCTGCGCCTTTAAGACTGCATGTGGTCTACATCTTGCTGCTCCCATGGCAGGCTCCGGAGGTGCACGCTTTCAAAGTTTGACTGGGGAATAGAGGGAACAGTGGATACGGCAGCAGCATCGCCCCGTCGGGAAACAGACCCGAGGCGATCATCATCTGAAAGGGAAAAAAGGACCGCAGCTGGCCGGGGAGTGTCTGACTCCGGCGATAAGAACAATAGGAGAGATGACAGATCGGATACCCGATTTATAAATGGAAAACACAAGAAGGTTAATGTAACACAGTGTTTGCTGAAAGGAGGGTCTCCCGGCTGCAGCCTCCCCCTCAGCCATGCCGCTTGTATTCCGCACGCTGTTGTTCGGCTTTGTAACGCTGCTGGTTGTGGTTCTGATAATAGATGATATTGCAGAAGTGGAAGAAGAAATCGCGTAAGTAGCCCACCGTTTAAAATCATGCATGGTGTTTGTGTGTATGTGTTAGTGCAGTTCATTGTTTTCTTGTCCAGCAGCTGTATTTCCTCATCACATAATTGAATTTGTTAAGTGGTGGAGGGAGGGCAGGGGGATAAATGAGTGAAATAAATGAGTTTATTTGAATTTAATTGAAGTTTGGAGTTGAATGTGGAGTATGTGTGGTTTGTTTCTACGTTTGTAACACTTGGGTGCAGCAGCAGCAGCTGTTCCCGAGAGCAAGCCTGCCCGGGGGTCTCCAAGGATTAGGGTATTTGTCTTGCAGCAGCCTGCATACGGGATAGGATAGGCTACATTTACACTATAAGAGAGAGTAGGGAGTGTGTATGAGACAGAGAGGGAGTGAGAGAGGGAGTGGGAGGGGGGTGGGACGATAGGAAACATAAAGAGGCTTTCCTCTTTTTCGTTTTTCAGACTTTGAAATGTTGAGCAGTGCAGCAGAAATCTTCCAAGTCGCACACATGCCCTACTTGCGTTTGACCTGCAAGAAAATACATTCTGAATATAGCATCAGTAGTAGGCTACTCCTGTCACATGAAAATCCAACCAGACCACAACAGTGCAACATCCTCCTCTGGCTCTTATCATTACCATCACAGCTATAAAGATACTGTGTTACCTTAATAGCAACAAAAATAAACTACTTTTTTTACAACCCCCACGTGAAGCTTTGGGGATTCTCACATTTCCCTTTCAGCAAGAACATTTTGTTTTGAATGCAATTACCCGGCTGTGGCTCACATCGTAATGAGGTCATATTGGTTTGTGATTCGCGTGGGAGAAGAACCAGAACCAATTCAACTTCTGCATAAATACCGCTTAATACAATTAAAACAATATATTTAAAGCCAGCAGGATAGTAAAATGAGTGAGAACGACCCACCTGTCTGTCAAACCAGCTCTTTTTTTTCACTCATTCTTTTGCACAGCCGCTGCCAGCTTGTCACGATTTTATCAAAGATGACCAAGGTCACAAAATACAGGGATGCTTAAATATCTGAATGCTTAATATAAAATGTTTGCTGTAAATGCATCTTAGCTGGCATATTCAACACCCCTGTGAAAAGAAAAACCTTCTAGCATAATGGGGCTCCATTAAGGCCACATTTCTCCTCATTACATCAGCAAATGGGCCCACAGTGGATTGCTCTAAAAATACCTTGATGCTTGCTTTTCACCTTTATTCTGTCTTGAAAGATAGACATACAGTACGCCTGGTATTGAATACAGTGCTTGCATTATTGCTACTTGATATGATTACAGTAGGATTTGAAGCGTCAGTCCATTATCAACCCAGACTTCAGGCAGCAGAATGTGATTCATAATTCAATCTAAAACCGTTTTCTTTTCTAGAAATACTGGGCATTCAAAGAAGATGAACTTGCACCGGCTCATCCCTAAACCGCACAGGTCTGAAATCCAATTATCTCCCCACACACACACACACACACATATATATACATATATGGCTTAGCTTGACAATCACCAATTCGATTCCGGCCCGGACCAGTCATACGGAGTGTGAACTAGGAACTGGAGAGGTTCCCAGTTCACCTCCTGGGTACTGCCGAAGGTGCCCTTGAGCAAGGCCCTGAACCCCTAACTGCTCCACAGCTGCTGCACAGTGGCTGCCCACTGCTCTTAATTAGGATGGGTTTAATGCATTGTACTATGTATAATTGTATCTGACAATAAAAGTTGATTTACACACACATCATATATATACACACACACACACACACACACACACACACACACAAATACATATATACATACATACATATATACATACATATAGTTCTAGACCACCAGTGGGTCTTTCTGTATATAATTTTCAGTTGGAATTCATTTGATTCCTTTGCAGGCTCAATAACCCAGTGAGTCATTCACAGTGAGTGTCTCATTACTTTTTACAGCAAGAAGGCAGCTGCTATAAATACCCATCAATGTGGCGGTATCCATGTGATAACAAAAACATCTGCTACTATTGGTGGAGGAAGTATTCAGATGTTTTACTTGAGTAGCAGTACCACTATGTGTGGAAAAATACTCTATTACAAGTAAAAGTCTGTCAAACTGTAAAAAAGGTACACATTGTCGCTAAATGTATTTAAAGTATTAAAAGTACCCATTATACAGAAAGCGGCCACCATGATTGTTGTATTATAATATTCTATTATTTAATCAGTATTTCTGATGCATTCATTGTAAATAGTATTTAACTGGTGTAGTTAGTTGAGATGGAACTAGTTTTAACTACTTTATTATACTGGTACATTAATTTATAACAATGCTTTATATTTTATGCCTACTTTGACACTGGTTGATCTTTGTATGTAAAATCTTACTATACAATGTAATTAGTAACTAAAGCTAATAAAGTGTAGTGTAGTACAGTAAAATGTACAAAATTTCCCCAGAAATGTAGTGGAGTGGAAGAATAAAGTAGCATAAAATACCCAACATTTGTACTTGAGTAAATGTACTTTTACATTTACATTCTTTTACATGTTACATTCCACCACTGTCATCTGATGACATCCACTATTCTTAGATCTCGATTCAGACAGGAGAAACCCCACACACATGAAAAAAACTTAAATTGGGAAAAAAGAGGGAGATATTCACAAATAATAAGGATTTTGTTTTTTATTGATCAGCACTTTAAAGATCATCACAGTCTGTCAATAACAAGCCTTTCTATTCTCATTTAGAAAGGCTGCAGGACACATGGATCCAACTGCCTTGACAAGATTGAGCAAAGATCGCCTCGGCCCAAGCTACAATAACACTGCCAAGCTCTCGTCAAACAGCTGGACCTTCAACAAGACTCTCTCCAACCTCATCAGGCAGAATCATCACTCTCTGCGATCATCCCGGCATATTTTTCACACTCGACTACGCAGTCTTTTTATAACAAGTGTATACTCTCTCTTTTTACAGGAAGAACATTCTGAGATTTCTTGATCCAGAGAGAGACATCTCCATTCTGAAGGGCACGCTGAAACCAGGAGATATCATCCACTATGTTTTTGACCGACACAGCACCACAAACATCTCAGAAAATCTCTACCGTCTTTTGCCAACTGTATCCCCCATGAAGAACCAACATCACAGGCGCTGTGCTATTGTGGGAAACTCTGGGATCCTGCTGAACAGCAGCTGTGGACCCGAGATTGACTCACACGACTTTGTTATCAGGTATTTTTCAGGGTTGGAAGTCTCCCATTTGAAATAAATCATAAAAACATGCAAGTTAAAGTGGACTGTAATTGAAATGGATTACCACATTAGTTTCAGTTTTAGGTTTATCTCACTTTCCTGAGAGTATAATTCACATTGGAATGATAGTCACTTCTTCGAGTGCTCAGTTTAATTCAGGCTTAGAGATGATGCTCACACAGCTGGAAATATATTAATTGCACTTTTGAATAAGCTGTCAAAGCTTTTTAATGATTTTAAGTTTGAAACAAACTGCCAGGCTGAGCGCAATTAAATGCATGATTATACATTAAATGGCCATTTAAAAAGAGCTTTTGCATCCAGCAGAAACACATTGTGCTTGTCAGAGAAATCCCAGCACTCTCAGGTGTCCCACTCTCATTTAGCAGAGAATTCTGTTTGTGAAGCCTTCTGTTATGTGTTTGTGTGTTAAGTAAATGAGTTGCTGAGCACATTATTTATCACTATTCATACTTGTCAGTGGAGGAAAATAATTTTGTCTAAGGTTATATTAGAATGGAAGATGCGCAAAAGAAAAAGTATACTTGTTGGGATTCTGTGTAGAGCCAGGAACAATCTAAAAAAATATGCACTAAATGCGGAGGTATCTACTGTGAGAAACATCCCCTCATAAATCACTTACTTTAATGTTGTTGTAGAAAGAAGCAGGAAGTAGCTGTCTGCAGTAGCACCTCATTGAGCTGATTGATCGATTGCTGAATAGGCCTCAAAATCCTGGTATGTCCCCTTTTTATTCTGAAATTGTTTCTGTTGTCTGCAAATCTTGTTTTTCTAAAGTGCTGCGACGTTATGCTGATGAGGAGGGGTCATGATTTCTAGACTCCGGCAGCATGATAATAATGCCGGGGCATGGCGGTAATGGTTGGCTGAAGGTAGACAACAGGGAATGTGGCATTTTGAGAAGATGAGGAATTTGCTCTGGCATTTCAGGCATCAGATAGGGAGATAATATCAGCTAAATATAGTTCTCTGCCCCATCCTCGGTTTCCACAAAGTAGGTTGACAGTGTTGTGGGTACTTGTTACAGATTTCAGCTCGGCGTTGTGACAATGTAATGGAATAATTTGGCATACTCAAGCAATTTATTGGAATAAATTAGAGTCATTTGTCAGATTTTCAGTTTGTATGTAATCTTTAAACCAACTGTTTCCTGAAGCAGGTACATTAGCTGTCATAGTACATATGTAAAAGTACGCAAAGTCCCTGTCCGGTGTGTAAATTTAAAGTTATGAAAAACAAACCCTCTTGGTGTGTTCTCCTGCCTCACTTCAGAGGATAGAAATGCTTAACCATTAAGATAATTACTGGCTTTGTTGTTTTCTGGCATTTACTTGAAGGCAGAGGTTCAATAAACAAAATGCCACCCTCCGCTTTTCTGCTGAATTTCACTTGTATTTCTGCTCTATTTCACTCCTGCTTCAAGTTTCTGCAGGGCAAATGGTTTGATTGGCTCAAGGACATATACAGATGGGCGATAAACTAAAAAGGAAAAAAACAAAAACGAAATGTCTTTGTAAACTGGTGGGCCACCATGAGCTGCCAGAACAGCTTCACTGCTCCTTGACCTGTAGTCCAGTTATCTGTACCACTCAAGTTATCAAAATGATTATTGATATAAATGGTATCATATGAATTAAACACATTCACACATTCAATGAACTTTATTATACTAGTAAAACTTGCACCAAGCATGGTTTGAAGATGTGCTGGCTTAACACCATTGAAAAACTTGCATTGCTTTGCTTAATGTTTGCAGATGTGTCTGGTAGAGGACCAGATCAAAAGACCAAGAAACCAGATAATTAAAAGCTATTTCTATCCAGGACATCACTTTACATTTGAGATTGAGTGACCTGTGCCTGCAGGTGTAACCTGGCACCAGTGGAGGAATACTATCGGGATGTGGGTTGGCGGACCAACTTGGTGACCATGAACCCTTCAGTGGTGCAGCGGGCCTTCCAGGACCTGGTCAGCAAGGAGTGGCGGGACGCTTCTTGCAGCGGCTTCAAAGCCTCAGCGGCAGTGTGCTGTGGATCCCAGCCTTTATGGCCAAGGGGGGAGAGGAGCGCGTGGAGTGGGCCCTCCGTCTCATCCTGCTACACACTGTGGACGTACGCACCGCCTTCCCCTCCCTTCGCCTTCTCCACGCTGTCAGAGGGTAAGATGCAGCTGAGGCTCGCAGCCGCTGTTCCTAGTGTGCTGCGTCTCAGAAGAACACCTGTGAGCAGCATAATCAAGGGGTTGGCAAACTCTAATCTGCAGCCCAGGTGGCTATTTATAAACAGAACATTAAATCTGATCACCAGGGGCAGAATGCTACTCTGATCTCTCTTCAGTCAGGGTGTACCGCGAGTCGTCTCAGAAACTCTGTCTTGATTAACTGAAACGACTGTGTGAAAAATGAATGACATCGTTCAAGTAGACATATCAATCTATTTTATGTTTTATTTTGTTCTAGGATCCATCTTTGACGTCTCTCCTAAGCAAATAGTTAAACATTTTGGGAATACGCTTATTTGCTTTCTTGAGAGGGAGATGAGTTACTTCACTTCCTGTCTTTGTATGTTTCCCGCTAGTTTTTATTGGCTAGTTTATTGCCCTGACCTCATTGGGTTTACCTGTGTCTAGTTATCCTCCCCTCACTAGTGTATTTATTGTGTGAATGCCTATCATCACCTCAAAAGCTGACTAATTATCACAGTGTTTCACTTATCTTTGTTTAACACACACACAAGCAGAAGTGTAACAAATCCATGAGTCTACAGCCATAGTGGCTTTGTGAGGCTGTACCTGAGCTAAATGCCAACATTGGCATGTTAACATGCTCATAATGACTATGCTATATTTAGCAGGTATGTTTCCCATATTCACCATTTTACATTTCCTGATTAGCTCTGTACAAAGTACAGCTGAGGCAGATGGGAATGCCATTTGTTTTCCAGGTATTTGTAAACTGAAGTACTGCACAGATTAAAATATTGCTCTAAATGGAAGGGACATGATGAACGTCTGTACCAACTATCATGACAATCCATCCAATAGTTGAGACATTTCAATAAAAACCGCAAATGTCACCCTCATGATCGTGCTAGAGGAAAAGTTGAGGGATTTTCCAAGTCAGTAGGATTCAACTTCTGGGGACCATGAATGTCATTACAATTCATCCAATAGTTGTTAAGATTTTTCAGTCTGGACCAAAGTGGTGGACAGACCGAACCACAGATTGACAGACATTTCCTTTACCTGAGCTGCTAAAAACAACTAGTTGTGGTTTTTAAGGGGCGTTACGTGCTTTTTCTATTTCTTGGTGATCAACAGCCGGGTGCAGTGACTTCCCAGAGTCTTGTTGTCAAGGTAAGGCTGCCAGGCAACCTGCAGAGATGCTGCATAGAAGTGCTGAGCAGAAGGATTAACTGTTATTGCTCTTCTCATCTAACTCTAAATAAAAGCAAATAAGCGCGGTTCCCAAAATGTCAAGGTGCGAAAATGCTTTTCAAGGAAAACATTATTTTATGAATGAGATAAATTGCTTAAATTGTGTTAAAAATATTATTTGTTAGCTCCAAATTGTGTTATTTAGATACTGTTGTTGACAGGCTGATACAGTGGCTCAGGAATAGCACAGATAATAATAAGCAATGCTGTTAAACTGTGTTCTAACATAACTCTTAGATTTCATTAATCCTTATTATTTGTGTTACTTTATTTTAAAGCTGGTCATGGATTTTTTTGAGGAATGCTTTTTGCAAATCTGTCAAATACAGTCTCCACTGCCTTCAGGCTTTTATAAAAAAAAATCCCTCTCTGCAATTTCTTCTGCTTTACTTGCCTCTCTTTCATCACAACCAGGCTCTGCTCCGAATCCTTTCTGCATTGTTAAAAGCCCAACAGCCACAGCTGGTCAGTGACCAAATTATGCCATTTTGTATGCCCCAACTAACACTTGGTATTGCAAAGGGGTAGAACTGGGCCATGGTTTGTGTAGTTAAGTTGTCTGTTAGATCAGTGTTTTACAAGAGAAAATAATTAGCCTGAAATTTTCTTGGAGATGAGATGCATGCCTTTGCCCTTAAAAAAACAAATTTATAGTGGTCTCTGATAAATGCTTCCCCTGAACTTGTGTTTTTTTTCAGCAAGACTGACCCTTAAAACCCCATTGTGTGCAGTAGAGGACAAAGGATCTGTTCATATTCACTCCAACCGAATGCAATCAGACCATTTCACCGATAATTAGACCACCTCCTCTGCTTGTTAAAATTATCATCCCCTGCTGTAGTGCTTGGTTCGACTGCAAACCAGCCCACCGTTTGCCCTTCATGGCACATGTACTGCTTTAAATAGTACAACCTCAGCATCTCAACATGACCTTCCACACTAACCACAGAGTGCACAGCCGGAGGAAGCAGTGATAGCCTCGAGGCTGGAGACGTGTGCTAGTGACTAGAAAGGAAAATTAAGTTGGGGCGTTTGAAGGTCTGGCCACCTGCCCCTGAGGACAGCATGTGGCATCTCACTGTCATAGAAGCTCCTAGGTCACCTAAAGTAGAAAAATGCAATTGTGCCGAGCAGCGCCAATGTGTGCTGTGTGCAGTAAAAGAACATATGTGCTCAACAAACGTGCAGCAATTAGCAATTTAATCAAGCATTCAGACTTCAAGAGTTATTTGTTCTAACAAACATACAGTAAACACTCTGCCAATGTGATGAGAGAAATCCATTTTGTCCGTGTCTTTTAAATTATTTCAGAAGTGTTTTTGTCTTGAAACTAGACAAATTATTGAACTAGAAATTATTTGTTACCCTTGCAGATGGCTGCAGGAAAATAGCGCTAGATTAGACTAGAAGATGAATCTTGACTATCAATTATCGAACCAGTTGCTTGAACATGAGTTAAACTATATATGATTTCCGGACTAGTAGACTAAATGATTTGTTGAGAGGGAGATTTGTGCATCAGTGCATCCACTGAGCAAATAAAAAAAAGGTCACTTATTGATTTTCTGTGAGCAGAGAGCTCCTGAAGGGGTAGTTTGGTAGTCTACAACAGAGTGAACATTTCTGGCAAGCTCAAAATTTGTGCTTGTGTCTTCTTAGGATTCAGCTCCACTCTGTGCTCCAGCATACGGCATATCTGACTTAATATGAAAATCCAGGGGGAGAAAGGTTTTAGTGAAGGGCACTTTGGGGATTTTGAACATGTTCTTCCTTTTTGCTGTTTCTAGGCTAGAAAACAGTTATTGAATCAGCTAATCACCTCACTGTATGTCTTTGTCAACAGGTATTGGCTAACCAACAATGTCCACATCAAGCGTCCGACCACTGGGCTCCTCATGTACACGATGGCCACTCGCTTCTGTGAAGAGATCCATCTTTACGGCTTCTGGCCCTTCCCACTCGACCCGCAGGGCAAACCAGTCAAATACCACTACTACGATACTCTGAAGTACGAGTACACTTCCAGCTCGAGTCCCCACACCATGCCTTTGGAGTTCAGGACCCTGAGCACATTGCACAGACAGGGGGCGCTCCGGCTCCACACTGGGACCTGCGATGTAGAGAGGAGACCACAAAAGGCGCTCCAGAGCAAATAGCTGAAAGGGAGGTCTCCACGGAAGCCACTTTCTTGACTGAGCAGACTCTGTACAAACAGTTTTCTTGTTAATGTACTTTTATGAAACTTGAGTTAACTTAATTCTCAGTAATTGGAATGAACTTTTTCTATTTTGAGCACTTTAGCGGCTTGTTTCACTGGTGTGTTTTACCTTTTCAAAAAAATTTGATTTCTATGGCAACCTTCAAAATAATGAGACCCTTTTCTTTTGTCAGTCTCCTTTCTGCTGGTGTAAGCCAACTGTTCATGGAGATCCTGTCATGTCCATCTGTTGTCTCTTTTATATTCCTTACATTTTAAACTGCCACAGTCCTTCCAGTGTTGTTATGGATTAAGGATTCAGAACACATTTTTCTGTTTTCAAAATTGGTCATGAGACTCCATGAATTAATATTCTCAGTTTATGGTATAATAGGGCTCCATTAAGGTTGTGTTGTATTATACCCAGCATGTCAACAGCATGAAGAGCTGCCGAATGAATCGCTCTTGTGAGTCACTGGTTGGGCCACAAGATGGAAGCACTTAATAATCAGGGAGAGTGATGATAAAAGAAGAAATGTTGGTCAACCGCTCAAACACTTGTTTTTAATATGATGAACCCTTTTGATTAGGATCTTTTTTAAAAGAGCTGATGTAATGTTCAATTTGTGATAACACATTTTCCTCTGATAGAGAATGTTTTATGCTTTTGTAGCTTCCTAAAAAGGATCTTAACTGGTGTTCACTCTAAAACAGGTCATTTATAAGCAAGAATTCAAGGAGCCCAGTCAACCAGAACTGCCATTTGAGGAAGTCAGGTTACCTTGAGAGCCAAAGGAAGGAATGGAAGCTCGCTGAAATGTACTGTATGCTTGTGTAACAGCTGTTCACATAAGAATGTTTACACAGACACAGCCAACGGTAAACTCACTTTGTAAACTTTTCTCAAAGAACACCAGCCCTGTTTCTGCACTGGGAATGTTTGCAGTGAGGTCATACTATAGTAGTGCAGTGGTAGTGAAAAGTGCTTTGCTTTTTTTTAAATGAATGTATTGGTGATATTCTTACAAATTCTGTAAGAAAGGCCCCAAAATGTGCTTTAAATGAATTCCTAGACATTTAGCAACAGTTTCAGTGCAGTGACACTGAAGCTGATTACTTGTATGCCTTTTATTCATTTGAAATTATGTATGAATTATACTTGTATAGTTAGTTTGGGTTAGCATTCAACTGATATAGGTAGATACAGATATTTGTGGATTTTATTAAAGCTGCCAGTATTTTGTGCCTATAATCAATAAATTTGATCCATTTAAAAGTGGACAGTTCATATGCCCAGTAATAGAAATGGTCAGGTTGAAGTTATTCTAGAATGGATGGGAAAGATTAAGAGTTATGCGAGTGTTTACTAGTGTCACTCAAATCTGAAACCCAGAAATGAATGAACAAATGTGCAAAAAAAGATTTTATTGGAGCTTTGTTATGAAGAAACTTGTGTTTATTTAATGTCATTAACAGACTGAACTAATCAAATTAATATCAGCATAATGCTAGTTTGGATTACATGTTTGAACTTCCAAGCTCCACCTCAGTTAAAGTCTAGAAGTTCAGTTGTTGAGTTTTTAGGACTGTAGTCTTAATACGGAGCTTTTTGGCCAAATGATTTAGGTATTTTTCTGCAACAAAATGTCTCTTTTAATAATACTAGAAATATTCCAAGAGCTCTGCTGCTAAACAAGTAGCCTATCATGTGCTTCCAGCCATGTGATTTGTCCATAAAAGTGTTGTTTTGACAGGATGCGCCTGTTGACTTTCATGCGTGCTTACGCTGCCAGTTAAGAATAGACATGAAAAGCTCTACCAGAGACGTCAGCAGTCTGAGGCAATGAAAGGTTTATTTGTGAACGCTCGTCTGAGCTTGGCAAAAATAGAAACATTCTGTTACCAACACAATTAAGTTTATTAACCCAGAATCTGAGATTTACCACAGTTCAGAAAACATCCTACTGACATGGTGTTGTGCTGTATAGTTTTATTTTTTTGTCATGAATACTGTATGCACTACATTATACATGAATACTGCTTAATATCCAACTTCCAGCAAACAGATTTTTGCTTTTGCATGTATGTCTTATCTAGATACATATAACTTGGGTATAATTAAATTTTTTGCATTTAAAATATTCATTGTAACTCAAGGACATTTAAACTGTGCAGTTACGACAAAGTGAATGTACTTTTCTGCGGCAGAGAAAAATACAATAGATCAGAATGGAGAAAAAAACACTTCAAGCCTCAGTCTTAAAACGGTTTAACACTTCAAAGGAAGCAGTTTTATTTCAGTAGTGTTTTCAAAGAAATGGAAACTGAGGAAACAGCCGTGGGTACACATAACACCTATACACGTCTGTGTCAAAAACCAAGTAGGGACTTGTTTTCAATAAACTTCCAAAGTAGTTTGAACATTTAACTTCATTTGGTTCGAATGTGGGATCAGGGAGATTAGTTTGTCTTCAAATAGCTACCACGATGACTTTTATTAATTTTACAAGAGGAACTTTCTGCAGCAGATGATTCAATTCTAATGAAAGCCCAGAAATAGCATCTTTAAATGAGACAAGCTTTTTTTCCACAATTTCACACACAACCAAAGAAATAAAATCAGATGTTGCCAAGATGGATGAGGATAACTATACACAAAAATTAATCTACAGTTTTCTGCACATACAGTGAAAGACTAAAATGAAACATGACACAGTACTGAAATGAACAGTGGTCATATAATCTGATGGAAAACACGTGAAATAAGACAGCAGTCTGCTAAAGGACATAATATCAAAAAAATATGATTCACATATGATTCAATGTATGATTAAAAAATCCTTTCTACACACTCCTGCATACCGCTTGTATATCTAACATAATAAATATATCCAGTCTTCTGTGACAACAAAGGTAAATACACTCTCTGCTCTTTCTCCCAGAAAGAAAATGTTAATAGGTTGTACAAGATTGGCCATTGTAGTTTATATTTATTTTTTTCTGTTCACTAAAGCTGGGGGTCATTTGGAAACAGCTGCACCCGTAGGCCAAGGGGGACTATCAAATAACAATTTGGATTAAAACAGAAGGTCACCTACAAGGCCCACACTCACATCTGCTGCAGGAACCTACTTTAGGAGTACTCTACATTGTTGTTAGTTTACTGTATTACATTTTAGGGTGCAGACAAGAGACAGGGAAGGTTTGTAAACTCCTCTGCCATTTTCTTTAATTTTCTTTAAATCTGGCATTTTGATTATTGTGTATTTGGTATTTGAATAAAATATGTAACAAATGTAACAAAGCAGTTATTGTTTTTAATTTAATAGTAATTTAATACTTATCTAATGGGCCAAATCATTTAAGGATTTTGTCAGTACGGTAAAACCCCATTTTAGACTCAAATGTCCAAGAGATTACAGCATTCACAACAATTCCATACATCACAATATACTTCAGTCAAACCTTGGAATCGTAACACTTCAGCTGAGACAGTAGCCTAACAGGAATGTCTAAAACAACACATGTATATACTGTATATATACAGTACATATGCACAATAAAGTGGTTAGCAGATAGAAATATATTTGGTATGAAAGTTTAGTTAAAAATATCAATTACTGTATATCACTAGATTCTGAGTGTGCAAATTTTACATTTGAATAAAGTATTCTCTGCAAAATTTGTGTTGCATGTTAACATTTTATACATTAACTGATGATCTTTAGTGGCCACCGAGTATTCACTTAAAGATAACATATTCACTCAAATCACATGTGATTAGTCCTGCATTTTAATATAGGTAGATCATAGCTTCAAAGCAGGCCTTGTTTCCTACAATGAACTCCTCAGCCCCAATGCTGTACACTGTAGCTCAAGTGTATCAAAAACTAAATGTAAATGAAACATAATTCCCATGTAACAAGTTGATTGAATGAAGATGACTGAACTCCAAGTCACAACATGAAGCATTATCTTTAACAGTATAAAGAACTGGGCAGGTATTTGGGCCATTTGATAGATTTGTCAGCACAGCAGCAAACAGTAATATCAATGTGGCTCCAGTTCTTTAAATACAGATAAAAGCCATGCACAAGCAGCATGTGACGTGGTTGATTTGGTAAGACTAGGCAACACAAAAAATACAGGAAGTCACTTGAGTTGTCCTGGAGTTATCAGATATCGATGTCCATGCTGAGATTCACCTGCGAAAAAAACAGAATTTGATCTTGTGTTACTGTGAGGAGGAAATCTATTCAAGTCCTGTCTGACTTGGAAGGCAAGAATGTCAGGTAAACAGGACATTATCTTCCCTTGAGGAAGTGGTTGTGTGTTAAAGAACAATTGAAAGGCCGGAAGGGTGAAACCTAATGTCAACATTGCATGAACTAAAACAGTGTTTCTTTAAAATAGTGTTTCTTCAAGTAGAGCGAGTAGTTCAAACACGTATTTTAAATGCACTGTTTGAGAAAATCATTACTTCAAGTTCGTCAGTGCTTAAAATTAAGAGCAACACACGTCTCCTAAAAGTGAGAGACTAATTCAGCTTTTTAATAGCACAAGATGAATAACTTTGCCAAAACTGTGGTGCCACCCCGCAAAGTTGAAAAGTCAAAACGAAGTCACACAGTGCTTTACATAGGGAAATCAAGGTTAAAACACTTTATGACTAAAGTGGTAACAAGGGTGGTAAGTAGAGGCATTGAGAGTGTTAGACTAGCACAACCAGGTAAGTACAAAACTACTAGAAATGTTTAGTTTAAAAGGGAATTTCTTTTATACAGTCAAACACTAAGAACACTAAATATTTATTTAGGGACTTATCCTGAGGATAAAGACAGAGGAGCAATAGAAAGCATCCTAACTGGAAACATCACAAACTGGCATGGGATGTGCACGGCCCAGGACCGGAGGGCTCTGCAGCGGGTGATTAAAACCACTCAGATCTTTGGTACCCATCTACCGTACATCAGGTGATATTGGTGAGATGAGTAACCTGTGCTGAGCCTTAAGGATACTAATAGACAGTACCTACCCAGCCACAGCCTGTTCACTCTGCCATCTGGCTTGAGATACAGACGTATCTGATGTCATACCACCAGATTTCAGAGCATATTTGCATATTTTTTGTGAGTAGCGTAAAGGGAACGACAACTTAATCTCGTTAACCCTGTGTTGTAAAATAGTATCTACCTTTTACCTTGTACTGTACAGATACATTTCTGTAGGAATAAAGGGCCATTGTGTGGATTATGGACTAGATTATAATGCCCTTATCACACTTTACAGTTATCAATATCTCCACTGTATCCAAATAGGCCTAACTTTTCTGAAATGTCTAGAACATTCTCATTGGGACAACGCCTGCAGTTGTTGAAACAGAAGAAAAAGACACGTTTTCTTTGGTTTTAGAATAACATGAATATCTTTTGCATGAACGCCTTATTGCTTAACTACTTAAAAAAGAACAAACCTGTATTTGACATCAAAGAGGGTTGAGTCATCATCATCGTCGTTCTCCTCATTAAGAGGGGCCATCTCGACATGCTCTGCAGGTGTCGTTATGATGTCATATTTCCGTGTTTTTCTGATTCGTCTCCCAGATCTGTGGGAAAGAGAACGGTGCCAAATGAGCACAAGAGATAAAATCACACCCTTTATGCTGACTAAACCACAACATCAGCTGTAAACCTATTGTAGGTTTTCCAGATGGAGAGGGTTAAATTGGTATATTTTTACAAAAACTGTCTGTTAGTAGCTTACAGTCCTAATAGCCCAGATGTTTTCCTCATATGAAACAGACAGCTAAAATGGACATTAACTAAAACCACCAATTGTGATAACTGATTAGGCCTATTTATCAACCAAACATTCTCTGGTAACACCTTTTCAAATGTGGAGATTTGCCATTTTCTTCTTTTCAATGACATTGTAGCAATTTGAAGACACCTCAAGGGGAACTTGTTATGTGAATTTCACACTATTTGTTAATATCTTATAAACTAGACTAAAATAAAGTCTGATAATGGTAATGATCAGACATGTAAAAACATTATTCACTTATTAGATTCACACTCTCAGACACATAAGGTTACAAATAGCCTACATAAAGCAGGTTGCTTATAAGTCAAGTGCCTCCACACACTTCCCTGTAGGAACATTATCACTATAGGCCCTGACCTTTCTACTTGGCTACCACCCTCACATTGAGCCTAACACACAACCACATGCTCCTAATCGATTCATTCACTAAGACTATCAAGATTTCAACACATCATAATGTGACGACATCATTGCAAGGCTGGTTATTACAGTGGGATCAACCTGCCTACCTGATCACTTTGATGACCAGGCACGTGATGAGAGCAGCTGTTAACACGCAGATGAAAATGACAATGTTTTTCAGAGTTGGGAGATGCGTCATTAGGGATGAAATCCGGGATCCCACGGCAGCATCCGTGACATTGTTCGTCAGTTCATCTTCGCTGATGATTGATGATGATGTTGAATTTAACTGCGTCGCGGGGAAAGTGAGTGGTACGCCACCAACCCGCCAAAGAGCCGCAATGACAAAAGTTAAAACCAGATTGTATGTCACCATGGTGCTGAAATAGAAAAATGCAAGCAGGATGTTTCGGTCGTTATAGATGAAATGAGACAGCAGCTGTCACATTATAGAGGATCGGCTTATCAATGACAGATTGTGCTATTTAGGCTGCACAATAAAGAAATAGTGAGGCTCAATTATCCATCTCTCTCCTCGTCCAAGCTTCTCCTAATGGTAGACTTGTTTGCTTCCAAAACGTGCTTCCCTTGAGGTGAGTTATGGAAATTCCTTCCTGATGGCATTAGGGCTTCGTGCAGAGGTGGGTATAATCCGCCTCCGGAAGCGCTCTGCAGGCTGGCCCGCTGCTCCTAGTGCTGAAGAGGAGCGTTATTGTGTGGGTTTGTGCTGCCTTCAAGGCGCCCTCGTACTTCCTGATACCTAGAGACCAGCTGTCGCCAAGAAAAGGATGTTGACAAATCCAACTGAAACGAAATGACAAGCAAAGTTTGTTTTAGTAGCCCATGTTTGACAACACTTTTAAAGAAGAACTTATTACAAATAAAAAAATAATATTCAATTAGGCTTACTCGTGCAGGCCAAAAGAAGGACCAGTGACAGGATTTTGCCCTGCCGTCCTCATACGATTAAAAAACAAATATTAATTAAATTATTTATTAATGCATGATACAGTGTCTGTCTCCTTCTCCTATCTATTAAATTAACCTCCAAACATAACATCTTTTTTTTACCAAATTTTTTACATGCACCGTTCCCATGCTGCCGGGAATACAATTGAGAAAGTCTCTTTATTTTCTTTCTTTCTTTTTTAACTAATAAGTTTAATTGATTTTATTGGTTAATTATATTTTTGTCTCAAATAATCTAATTTAAAGATAGTGATAATATCAGTTAGTTTCAGCGTGTCCAGCGTGTGTGTAATTGCAGAGTGTTGACTCTTTCTCAGGTCATTAAAGCCACCACATTACAACAGCACAGAGGATATGCCTTGTGTTACTATTTTTGCATCTCATGCACATTACTGCATTATCCTTTTCCCACCATTTGGTTCTTAGATATATGTCTACCCTTTTTCAGAATGTGTGGAGGGAAAAGAGGTGTGAAAGTCAAGAGGGCAGAACATGTTGCAGGTGTGCTTATATTCCACATTAAAACACACATTTCTAATGACAAAACATTCCAAAGTGTGCCCATAGTGCTGTGTGTAGCCCATTTGGAACAAAATAGTAACACAGTACAATTACTATTCATTCATCAAGTTCACAGTTTTGACACAGTTAACCCCAAACATCACATCTTAAAGGCGTCACAGATCATTCTAACATCTCTTATAACTTCGCAGCTCCTTTGGGGCTTTAATGGTCGTGATACATTTCTGACAGCACTTGAAGGCAGCATTGCCCTGTTTACCAGTGGGACATAGCAAACACGATTTTCAAAGGGCATGAGACTCAGGGATCAGGACCTCAGATTCCAGGAAAAATCAAAACAAGTCAATTGATCAGTGATGGTGATAATCATTCAGCAAACCTATAGGCATAAAGCCAATACACAATCAATCACTGTCTTTGTTTCACTTACTCAGACAGACATCATTTATGTCTCCATTTATGTGTCCACTAGACTTTGGATTTACAGTCTGCAAAGTCCTATTGAAAATGTTCTTCAATTTACCACTACAAACTGATGTCTTAGGGGAACTTGCAGTTAAAGCCCTTTACAGCAGACTCATGCAAAATATATCATAGAGTGTAAGCCTGCAGCAGCTTCTTTTAGCTGAAAACAATGACAAGTCAGCCTGTTAAGCATTGTGTATATTGATGTCTGGTCTTATTTCTGGACACCTACTACTACGCTTGGAGTGATTGCCCTCTGCTGCACTCCTGTATATGAGAGCCATTTAATTTGATCAAAGCCCACCAGATGGCAGCACAAAAACCAGAGAGCATGTATTTTCCTTTAATGCACATGTGGAGATCCAGAAGAGACTGTTCTGAGTAGGCCTTTACATTACACAGTTAATAAAACATGTGGCAGCTGACATTTGTTTCTATCATAATAGGTCGTTCTGATTTTATGATTTTAGATTAGCTTCTAAGTGAGGAAGGTACAGTACACTTACATGCACACAAAACCTTTAGACACTACCTATAGTCTATAAAACTGGATTTTGATTTTGTTATGTTGTTTGGGCGATTTTTTGCTTGTTAAGCAGATTTCCCCCTCTGTGCATGATTTGGTTGCCACAAGGTTAGCTGAAGGAGGGTTGTCACATTCCAAGAGGATGGCCTGAACTTTGCACAGAGAAACGGCTCAGGGTGGGACTACAGTGATCACGTTACACTGTTTTTTAAACTAGCTTACAACACAGTTTGGGTCTCCTGTCAAAGCAATGCCTTACCATTCATCTACCCCACTGACCATTTGAATCTCAAAAGCTGTTTGTTGAACAACATGACTACACCTGTGTAAAGATTGCTAATTGAACGGCAAATATAAGAACACAGCATACCTGTTCTTATGTCAGCTGTCACCAGTTATTTGCATCAAACAATGACGTTTGGTTTACATGCTTCTATCTGAAATAACACACCCATGAGCGTACACACCAAAACACACTCTTCTGCAACAGCGTTGTGTACTCTTGACAAAACCAGAGTGGCTGCAATTCCGCCTTCCCACTCTTAAAAGGAAATGTTACATGTTAAATGTTGATCCTTGCTGCAAGTTAGCGTAAGTTCATAGTAGTCTCATGGTACTATTGTAAATATTAAGCCCATATAAAGGTTCTTGCTGCTGACTACTAACTGAAGCCTGCACTTATATAAAATGGCATTGTGTATGTTACATTAATGAGCATTTGTTTACCGTGACTACAGTAAAGTCATTACATAATCACATCACATCAAGACCAGTGGGAAAAAACTGTCAGATATCAGTTGATCAGGCATTTATTTACTTTTCCTTTTTTCTTACATGCAGCACCAATAGCAATAATTAACAACCTGCCTTAGGTGAAACCAAATTGGTCCTCTTTAGAAGGGGATATATACTAATCTTTGTGCTGCAACAACAGTGCCAGTTAGACTAAATTTCCAATCTCTGAAAGCAAATACTTTTAGATTGCAACATTCAGGTGACTTATAAACAAACTGATAAAGGCATAAGATACTACTTAGAACAGATTCTTTAGTTAAGCACTTCCCTGTTCAAACCCATCCAACCAGTCAGTCAATAGAAGACCGTGTTCACTTCCCTTGTGAGGTCTGGATTGGTATGCAGTTGCAGCGCAGTGCTGTTGCTAGGCTGAGGATCTTTTTAAAGAAATCTTCCACTGCAAAGAGCATGCGCTGTCATGTCAAACATCTCATTGGCCAATGACGGGGGTGGAGTGCATACCACAGACTCCATAGACTGTCCAATAAAGGCTGCACTGACTGAGCAGCCAAAGTTCGCCATGTTTGGTTGTCCCCATTAGACTTCTAATTTTATTCTTTCAAACTTTTTCAGTTAAAACAAATAATAAGGTTCATTTCATTGATTTGGTCGTTTGGCCACAGGCTTCTCTCAAGCATCTGACATTGCATCCATGCTCAGTTACACATACTCACATTAACCTTTATGAAACAGCTTTCCAATCTCACTTTGATTTTTATTTGTATATGTTTGTAATATAAAACATAAACCACATAAAAAAAATCCCTTCTGTGCATGGCATCTCTCACTTCAAAAGCGGTGTGTGGCCTCAATCACTCCTTCATCACAAGGAAATGGTGGCAATGAGGTGGCCTAGGTCTACTACATCAACAACAGGAACTAAGTCTGATGTCTGAACTGTGTTAATCCAGGGAATAAACAGGTTATTGATCATTTATTAACAGCCTTGCACCCACAATGCACTACCTTTCAAGGACCTCCAGAAGGAAAGGGTTCCAAAAAGGCATGTGTTTTTGAAGCCAGACATAGCTTATTACACAGCAAATAAACATACTGAAGTTTTGAGTGTTCCTATATGGCTGATGATAGAGTGAAGTATGGCAGCACACACACTGGACCACTTCCAAGAGAAAAGGTGATTTTCTACACCTGAACAAACCCCTCAATTACAGTACTTAACCACTTACATATTTGTGTGTATATTTTTACCAGATTATTTCAAGTTTTCGTAAATACGTGTATTATCAGTAGGTCACTCAGGCTACTGGTTTAAAATAACCGTTAACGTTTAATTCTAGCTCGATTTGATTGGTTCACTGCTCACGTGGCTATGTGTAGCTATTTTTTAAATAAAAAGACAACATAAAATGTGTTTGGTTAACGCTAACGTTACTTGTAATTTTGAAAACGTTTCAAATGTATTGCTAGGGGTTTGGGGCTCAGGGTATAAGATTTTCGGCGGTCATCAGGTTCAGTAGGCTGCTAGCGCCTAGCTACACGGCGCTGGAGAGGAAGTAGAGTTTGGCTTACGTTGAGAGGAAAGTGGGCAGAGCCGCTGAAGGATATCAGCTCAGGCAGAGGCAGAGAGGAGGACACACGCAACACAGGAGCGAGGCGTCGAGAACAGAGAGGTAGAAGGGCGGAACGATGCGGCCAAAAGACCCACCAAAACGACAAAAAACGCCCAAAAACGCGACACTGTTCGGGGCAGATGACGGCGGATAGACACGGTCTGGGAAATGGGTAAGAACTTATGAGTAATATCACTTTAATAGCTGTAAAATACGAAGCAGGGGAGTCTGGCAATATGGTGGAAAGAACGACAGTTAGACGCAGTGTTGTAAAAATGGCCATGGTGTGTTGCAGCGAAGAATAAAGAAAACGATGTAGAGAGTGTAAATTGCTTTAACTTGTGTTTTAGTTGATGGGATTTACATCTTTGCTAGCTGTGTTTCGAGTTACCTTAGTTAATATTTGGACAACCACATTTGTACTCGACCTGTTTGGAGTTATTTCAACCTACGCATTTAAAATTTGCTTTGTCCTTGAAAGGGCAAATGCCCTTGTCTGAATTTGCTCGACAATTACAACAAAAATAAGCAAATGTTTCGTTTTTTGGATGCTGTATTGAGACTAGTTGACATCAACACAACCAGCTTAGGCATATTTTTGTTTATTTTCAGTATATTTGTTTTTTGTTGTTTTTCACCGAATTGTTCACAAAGAACATATTTAAAAATCGATGATTTTTCACTTTACCTTACCACAGAGTGTATCAGTGTAGTTTATAACAAGATTTAAGTCCGTGTGAGATGCTTGATACTTATTATTTAAAAAAATAGTTTAAATGAATTATGACAAGTTGACAAAATGCTCTAAATATAACAATTGGAACACAATTCATCCATTGTAGCACTATACATAAACTATACACGATTTCTTAGTCAAATAAAGGTTCTATATGTTATTAAAGCTCAGATATACCTCGAAATACAAAATAGGGTGTTGGCTTTTAACCCTTTAAGGT